AAAATCCACTGAAAACAGAGTCACATGTGGGAGACCCCAAGTGAAAGATCACCTTCGCTTTTCTCCTCTACTTGTGGACATCCTCTGTGTAGGTCTGACATTGCAGGGCGCCCTCGGGATAGGTGCACCTTGCTCCCTCCCATTCTTTGCCTCTGGCACTCAACACCTTAGCCTCTTGAGGGCTGTAATACTCTGCTCTGCTGTTCCTTGTTGGGTTTTGTGTGTAGGTGCTGTGCAATGGTTAGTGACCTGAAATATACAAGAGGGCAGGTCAGACTGTATGATCTGGTATTCCCTTATACTCTGTGACTGATGCTTTGTGGCGTTGGCGTGTCTCTTGTTCCTCCTAGGCAGTAACGTGGGGGGGCTCACGTGGAAAGCTTAATTTAAACCTAGCAGATGTATTTATCTTTATCTGCATGCTTCAAATGCAGGTGTCTAGTACTGAGCTTTCCATCACTATGATTGATACAGTAATAAAAGACTTGACAGCAATGTCAGAGGAGTATTGAAAGGCAAACACTCCTATGTGATTTGGAGAGGGTAAGACTCAACAGTTGCTCTCATTCTAGTTGCTTGGCTCCACTGAACTCTGGAAATTGAGTTCCCTTGCATTTTATTTTAGCCCAAATAGCGCTTTGATGGTCACAGTAGAGCCCTGGTAAGCCCAACTTGTTTTTCCTTTTTAGGGAATAGATTAACTTTGAGGCAATGGTTTTGTATTTAAAAATGCAACTTTTTGTTAAATCTATCCAAGACAGCCCTTTAAGGCATGACCTATAGCAGTCACCTCTGTTTTATAGAACGGGTTATGGATCGAGGTTTCCAAAAGGAATAGTCTTAATATCTGAGCACCTGGACCGTATTTGCTCTCACAACCACAGGTCAGTGAAATAGGAAAGTGCCAATTTGTACATGGGGAACTAAGCCTGTGGAGACTAAGTGACCTGCCCCCAGTCTCACATACAGAGCCGGGCTAGTCCTAACCACTGAGCATTCCTTCCTCTCACCATGTTAACGTGTATTTACTGTTTAAAGTGGATAAAATGCAAGAAACTCACTTAAAGTGTGTCAAGGAAATGAGACCTCCAGTTCACTAAGAGCAAGTATTGGTTAATATGCTTGATATAATGTACATCACTGTTCTGAGGTGGGTAGGGTGGGTAAAACATAGAATTGTAGGGATGGAAGAGATTTCAGGAGGTCATTGAGTCCATCCACCTGCTAAAAGCAGGACCAACCCCAAGTAAATCTTCCCAGCCAGGGGTTTGTCACGCTGGGCCTTAAACACCTCTAGGGATGGAGATTCCACCACCTCCCTAGGGAACCCAGCCCAGCGCTTCACCACCCTCCTAGGGAAACTTTTTCCTAATAACCAACCTAGCCCCTCCCCCCCTCAGGAACTTGAGACCATTGCTCCTCTATCATCTGTTACCACCTGAGAACAGCCTCTCTCCATCCTCTTTGGAACCCACCCTTCAGGTAGTTGAAGGCTGCTCTCAGTCCCCCCTCACTCTTCTCTGTAGACTAATTAAGCTCTAATCCCTCAGCCTCTCCTCATAAATAATGAGCTCCAGCCCCTTAGTCATTTTGGTTGCCCTCCACTGGACTCTCTCCAGTGTGTCCACATCCTTTCTGTAATGGGAGCCCCAGAATTGGATGCAGTACTCCAGATGTGGCCTCACCAGAGCAGAATAAAGGGGATCCCTACTAAGGCCATGCTCCTACTAATGCACTCCAATATGCTATTAGCCTTTTTGGCTACAAGGGGGCACACTGTTGACTCTCCTCCACTAATCCTCAGGTCCTTTTCTGCAAAAATGTTGCTTAGGCAGTTGGTCCCCAGCCTGGGATTCTTCCCTCCCAAGTGCAGGACTCTGTATTCATCCCTGTTGAATTTCATCAGATTTCTTTGGGCCCAATCCTCCAGTTTGTCCAGGTCACTCTGGACCCTAGCCCTATCCTCCAGCATAGTTACTTCTCCCTCTAGATTAGTGTCATCTGCAAACTTCCTGAGGGCACAATCCATCCCCTCATCCAGGTCATTAATAAAGCCATTGAACAAAACTAGCCCCAGAACTGACCCTTTGGGCACTCCACTTGATACTTATGACAATTAGACATGAAGCTGTTGATCACTACCTGTTGAGCCCAGCAATCTAGCCATCACTAGCCAATAGTACTAGCATGCGGCGGCAGCACTATTGGTTATTATCCAAACACTGTCTTACTCTATATAGTGTTTGAATGGCATAGAATAACGTTAAGATGAAATGTAAGTAAAGGAGAAATTGACTAGACCAAAGCATTCTTAGAGGTTGCATGACTTTGATGTGGACTGAATTGCCAGTGAGATCTGTCTTTGTCCTTCTTGATGGATTCATCATAGTGGTTACCTTTCTTCATTTTATCTAACGATGGGAATGTGGACGAATGTTCCCAAAGGTTATTCCCCCTTTCTGTGTAACTTTAAACTGAGCCTATCTTTTATCAACATTAATAATCATTATGGCATCTCAGTCATGCCCTGCATTTTTGACAATCACCACCTTTTAATATAAAGTAACCTTAAAATTGCTTTTTGCTATTAACTATGTACCATTCTGTGATACTAACCATTGCTGAATCGAGCAGGTTAGGGGTTCATTGGAAATGAACCCCTCCCTAGCAAAAAGTTCCCAGCAGCATTTCAGAGGGCAGTACGGTATAACACGTAAGTTACAGGATTGGGAATTCAGATCTGTGGGTTCCCATTGATGCCACTGACTCTGACCTTGGTCAATTAACCTGTCTGTGTGACAGTGTCCTCAGCTATAAAAATAGGGATCAAGATGCTCTCTTATGGGAAGTGTGAAGTATTACAACTTATATTATTGAACTCTGAATTAAATGGGTCTAAACCTTCTTCAGTTCTGTAGCGTTCCATTCCCATTGGCCCTGAGCTTTGATTAATGAGGTGTCTTCTGTGTTGCTGTATGCTGTCATTTTAAGACTTCAGAGAAAATCTTTCCCGCCACATGAGGAAGATGGTTAATGGCAGTGGTGGTGAGATGGAGGTGATACCTTTTACCTTTTGACCAGATATTTCAGTTATAATCTGAGTTCTGCGGGTCATCCCAGCCAGTAAAAATCTTCCCTACAGCCCCACGTCATGTACTCTGCATAGGCCACAAGTTTACAGAAAAATGATTCCAGAACATTTTAGAATTCTTTCAAATATATATTGGGGCTGTTTCTTTTATCAGGTCAGGTACCTGAACTATCATGACTCATGTACAAGGATTGGAAGCAGGGGGAAATTGTAATTAAAATAGGAACCATCTGCCTGAAGTAACCCTTTGTTACAGATGTGTCTTGATTTTCAATTCCGATCTCTCAGGGCCTTCGAGGACTGGAAGCTAGTGCTGTTTGCTTCCAGAACTCCTCCTTTTCCAAGAGTGTGCAGTTCCCCTTTCCAATCTTATCAGATCATAACATATCAGAACTTAAGTCTGTTACTAGTTTTGAACTGCATATTGCTTGTGCTGAGCTGTTATCAGGGAGCAGGCTGTGGGTGAAGGAAACTCACCTGCATTTTGGAGAAAAGAAGGGAACATCTTAATGGCAGACTAGGAAAGATGGTGGCTGTTTGAAGCTGCTTAGGGGATTGGCTTGTTTGAAGTTGTCCGAAGGGATGCACTGTACTGGTCAGAAGGCAAGAGAGGCAATCAAATGAGCTGCGGTGAATGCTGTTTGTCACATGGCTCTCATTCCTACAGTGTGGCTCTGGAGAACTTCTGAAGTATCAGTTGGTTAAGGAACAGCCAGTGCACTGGCTATAATTAAAAAGGGCCATAGAGAAGATCCAGAACATAAGGAAATTGATTTTGTCCAAGTAACAGTGGTAAGGTGCAAAAGAAGAGACACCCTGAAAATTTAAAGTATGTCTTGTACCCTGCCAGGATCTGTTCTGAGACTGTCTCAGGGTGAGAGGTCTGGAGGGATTTAGGAAGATAGCCATTTTAGTGAGATTCTTTACTTTAGAATAAAATATCGTGTGCTGTAACCTC